CGAAAAACTTCCGTGGACTTTAGCTTCTTTACCGATCAGCAGCTTCACATCCTCGAAGGTCGCCACTTGGGCTATGAAAGTGGTGTCTGCGTCTTGAATCTTGATYCCCGCCGGAATGAAGCCGCAGTAGTTTCCTTTAACTCTAATAGYTAWATCCATACATTCTATTCTCGCCGCGTTCTCATCTGCAAAATCAATAAAACCTCCGAAGATGTCACCTATCTTGCGGAAAAGATCCTCGCTCCATAAGTGCAACGGAACRTTTCTGAGCTTCAGCCATCCTCCATAAAAAGGAACCACTKAGTTAAATCCATGTCTTTCTTTATTCCATTTTTCCACTTTCAAAGTGAGGGCGCCGAAAGTAACCCAGCCTCTATTCATGCTAARAAGCCGAGCTAAATCTTCRTCTGGGCATTTAAGGATAGCCTTATCCGGTTGGAAAGCATTGAGAATAAGCTTTTTCTGAAGTTGACTCTCTAGAGTAGTTAAAATATTCCCCCAGTCGTCGTGGAAGTCTCTCCTAGTGATAACAAGAGTCTGGTTCCAATCTACCGGCCTGATTTCTTTTTTCTGAATTTGTACCTCTACTTTCTTCCGTGTAGGCGAAGAGCTCTTTAGAGCAGCTGCATAGGATTTCTCCACCGATGTTCTGGTGTAGTTCTTTGCAGAACCTGATGATTCAAAACCATTAAGGAAGTCTAGAAGAAGTTGCCTAAAAGAATTCCAGCCTTTGTAGTCCTCGCCGGCCGGAACTACAATGTTTTTCTTCCCCCCTGAGTTTTGCACCTTGGTTAACTCAATGAAGCTCCCACGCTTATTTGTGGCTTTTAGAATCCAAACATAACCATTCTCACAAGGTGTTTTCCGGAAGAATTTTTGAGTTTGGGGGGAAAGGAGAAGGTATGTGACCATATCTATCACCCATACTATAATCACCTCTTCGAATGTAATAGTAAACCTCCTTTGTAGATGCTGTTCTTCGATCTGGACGACTCTTCCCTTATACCTTGGGTCAAAAGTGCAAGAGAAAGATTTGTTTTCAATCTTAGTGGTTAGTCTCTGTGAAGCCATGATGGAGATAACGGAAGCCCGACGAGGAGGTCAGGTGAGACATCTTTCAGAAGGATGGTAGGGAGGAAGAGAGAGAACGGAGAGAGAGGGTGTAGACATCTTTCATGATATAGCCATATAGGTGTTCTATGATAAGCATTTATCTTTCAGTACAAGTTCGTTTTCCCGGCAAATCCATATCATTAGGAGATACTATAGTGTCAGGCTCGTTACTGATATTTTTCTCGTCAATTTCAGTTCCAGAGATATGTTCAGACTCTTGGACTTACTTAACTTTTTCAGTGTTCTTTCTCGAATAAACCTGTAATGGCATAGTAGTAGGGGGGTTGGATGTCTCTGATGAGGTGTCTAAAGATGAAGAGGATTGACTAGGGTCCATGTTAGTAGGGTTTGGTTCATGTGATAGCAAATAAGGAAAGGTGAGGTTAGGAATAGGTAAATTCTTATCTTCCAACAATATATCCTCCCCCTGAAGATAAGGTGATGTAAAGAAGCTGGTATCTTCATAAAAAGTGACATCGGCGGAGATGAAATACTTTTTAGAAGAAGGATGGTAGCATTTATATCCTTTTTGAGTGTTCGAGTATCCAACAAAAATACATTTGAGTGCTCGTGGATCAAGTTTACCTCTTTGATGACTATGAACATGAACAAAAGCTACACAACCAAACACTTGAGGAATCAAGTTATTTGTCGTACGGAAATCAGGGTAAAATTTTGATAAGATATTCATGGGAGTTTTTTGATCTAAAGTAGCAGATGGTAGCCGATTGATTAAGTAAGTGGCTGTCAGTACAGCTTCCCCCCAGAAGGATTTAGGAACATTTCTTTGGAAAAGGGCACGGGTCACGAAAGGATGTGACCAATTTTTCTATCGACAACCCCATTTTGTTGAGGAGTTTCCACACAAGACGACTCGTGAATGACTCCATGTTTTTGAAAGAACGATGTTAATGTTTGGTTGAAGTAGTCTCGAGCATTGTCAGACCTTAATCGTTTGGGTTTGATTCCAAATTGATTTTCGATCATATGGAAGAATGTTTGAATCGTCGGCGGTGGTGCTGTGGGTTGGGTACAATGAACACTTGTAAAAAAGTGTTCAAAACTTCAAACCCTAATGGGTACAAAATCCTAATGGACACAAAACCGTAATTCCCACACAAATTTTAGAGGAAACTTGGCTCTGATACCATGTCAATTATAAGAAAAATAATTCTCTTGTATATTCTTTCAAAGGATTGATACAAGACTATAAATAGTTGTCACAAAGAAGAAACTAAAACGAAA